AACGCTTCTTTTGCAATTCAAGAAAGGACTCATTTCAAAACACAATAGAAGCGGAAAAAACAGGCGCTTGCGCATATCAAAGGATCGGGGATAACAAAAGCGACTTAAGCTTTCTCAAAGGATTTAATTATTTACAATAGTTAGGTCAATAATAGCATCCTAATGCCTGAATTTTTGCCGCACAATTGTGCACACGGAAAGCTAACTTACGGCAAACATTATGCTCACTATCTAGGAAATGTCTAATAAAAAAAGGTTGGGTGCTTTTGTTTTCTGACATTAAAAACTACTTAGCTAAGTGCCCGAATGTCCTAAATGTCAGCTGTATTTGCGTTCACCGACAGTGTTTATGCATTTACAAATTTCATTTAAGATAATTTGGACATCAGGTATCCCAAGAAATATTGTCTGAAGAAAAGACGTTTTATTGGGACAACAAGGTAAATTTATTCAGTTAATTTTCGAGAATGGTTTCCCAGCTCGTTTTCAGAGAATGTGCAATGAACAATTAAAACCTCAAACGTGCAGAAAAAATAAACAGTCATCTGGAGTGAACGCTGATTGTCAGCTGTGATTTGTGTCAGTTCGTCCTTCTCGGCTCTCTTCTCTTGCAATCGAGCGTGACTCTTAGTGTGCATTTTAAACGCTTGGTTTCTATAATAGTAAAAACCATTAAGCCAGTCTGCGCGGCTTGGCGGCTTCCGCCGTAGTGTTGTGCGGGTTCTATGGGCTTTTTTACTTCACGCAGTTTGAAAATGTGGTAACTGGTTGGTTATGTTAAGGAGGGCATTATAATGTTTCATCGCTTTTCGTCCTGTTGTATTTTAACGCTGCTCGGCTGGAGGATTAAAGTGGTTTTGTTGTATCTATTGCTGATCGTTTTTTCGGGCTACGATTGCAACCATTTAAATGTCAATTGGTTTTTATAGCGGTCCTTCTTGTTAAAGCTCTGAGCACGACGAGCCTTACAATGCTTAACAGTTAGTATTTTTAGATAAACCTAAATGCAAATCAGGTAGTTTATAGTGATGTTAAGATCACGTAGAAAAAAACTAAATATTTCCAGAATTTGGGCTCAACTAATGCATCTAGTTAGTTAATTATGGTATCGTGTGGAATGGCCGTAAAATAAATTCCTCGAGTCAAGCCCCACTTCAAGCAAGTCTTGCCCACAAGGTTGACAAATATATGTCTAAGGAGGGTGATGAATTGCACCTAATTAAGTATAATATAAAACAATTTAGAAAAATGCTGCACTTCATTCAAGTAAATTATCATCCATTGGTCTCTTACGTACTGTCCTCTGCAGAAGTACAAGATGCGATCGCTGGAGTAAGACGTTTATTTGCCTGACGTTTCGGCTTCTGTCAAGAACACTTAATCATATGTAGCCGTAGAATAGTGTAATAGTGTGCATGCTTCAGAACATTCTACGGTTACTTATGCATAAATGTTCTCGTCAGCATCCGAAATATGGGGCAAATACACTTCTTGTTCCAGCGATCGCATGTTCAACTTTTGAACTGCTTCTTCGAACTCCTATATTAGCTTCTATTGCCACTGTCCTCTTCTACTTAAATGAAGCGAATCTAGAATAATCTCTTTAATGATAACCGTTGGCTAGTTGAATGCAAACTAACCGTAAAAAATGTTACCCTGATCATGCCACGTCTGATGTAAGCAGCTTTTTCGCCTACAGGAACATATATTGAATCCTCTATTTCTGAGCGTCCGAGGATTATTAACTGTAAGCGGCAACTTGTCTCGATGCAAAATGTTGTGCAATTCAAAGGACGCCAAGGATGACTTTTAAAGCTAGTTTAACAGGACACGAGTAAAGGAATGCTCCGTCCAACAAAAGTAGGTTTACTTGCGATAGATTTCGCGAAAAGTAAATATTCCTCTGTCTTTACTACAGCACTTAGCGTAACATAAAACCAATATTTTACCCCTATCATAACCCTAGCCTTACCCTTAACCTAACCGTTACCGCTTACACGAGCCAAAACCTAAACTTTTAACATAATCCTGATCTTAACCCTAATTCTGACATTGAACCTAAATATAACCACATCTCAATCCTAAACATTGATTTTTTTCAGAATTTGGCATAAAGACATATCTTTTGTGGGTGGTTCGTATTCCCATGTTCTGTGTAAGCGGCCGTCCAAGCCATCTTCATATCGAGGAGATCTTCGAGCTGCTTTGCAGATGCAGAAATTCAGAGCAATAATATTTCGTTGGGCAGCACAGATTTACTGATGTATTTCAATAAAGCAAGCAAGCTTACACACCTGAAATACTTCATGATCGGCAAAAACTTGGCCATTAGGATGTCCAGTTCCTACTTGTTGTTGCAATGCCCCTTGCTGACCCTTTTATTGGTCGTCTAGGAGAAATTTTTAAAGTAAATTGAACATTAACAATATGCTGCAAATATTTCCGCAAACTTATCGCGAACCCAAGTGAGACGAAATGCACCCTTGATGCTGTGAATAGCTCTTATCTCATGGTTAGATTTACAGCGAAAAAGAAACAAAATGCTGGCTACGGAAGACGTTTTTGTGCAGAAACAGGAAATCGGATTACTCAGGCCAGCAAATGGAACCGACAGATTACTGCAGAGGTAAATAGTACACGCTCATGCGGTATGAATCGGTACATAGAGAGTAAACACTGTTCTACAAAAGTTCCGAAGTCAAAAACAAAACGTAAACTGTGTTTTCCACAAAGTGGTGCTAGATAAACGTTTTCATCGAGCTCATTTTACCCATCAATCATCTGGAGAAAACATTGGCAACACATTGGTGAGTAGACGTTCACCACTCAGTTACAATTC